ATCTACAACTGTTTGTTTTTGTGAGTTCTGGCATCTGCCATGAATAAACAGTGTTGTGTGGGGGGCTGGGAAGGGGGGCCGGGGAGGCTGACTCCAGCCCCTGGCGCTGACCAGGTGTCACAGACAGCAAGGGCTACCTTTGATGCGGAGTTTTCAACTGTCACCTAGTTTCTAACTTGTATTGGTCTAAGTATAACTTGAAGACAACTGAGTTTGCTTGGGGCCAATCTCAACAGTCTTGACATCAAACAAACAGAAAACACAGCTCCTACAGCAGAAGCTGAAGCCGGGGGAGGAGTAAGTTGTTGCAGCTGGCCGTGGGCAGTGGCAGGCCAGCGGCCCACTCTCCGGTACGTGGCACGAACCACTGCACAGCCTCCCTCCTCGACCAGCCCTTCTGCACGGTCCCCTCCTCAGAGCGGCTGCTCTGTCACTACCTCCACCCAACCACCCCTCGGCCTCTCCAGACCCTCCCTCCCAAATTCCTCGGGTAAGACAGAGAAGCCAGCGAAACAGCAATTGATCACATGGAATCTGGGCGTGGGGCTCAGGGCACCTCAGCACTCAAGCAAAAATCTGATGAGACCCGTTTAACAGGTTCTGCAAGGTGTCCTAAATAGCTTTTGAAAACACTGAGCATTGCCTGGATTCCGCAGCCTGCCCTGGCTGCCGAGCAGAGCAGGCGGCTTGGTGGGCTGGGGGTGGGGGGGTCTGCTTTGGAGGGGGGGGGCCCTTACACATGGGTGCCTGGGGATTCCCTTACAGGTCATTCGTTGATCTTAAGGGAGCCTTCCTGCCTCTGCAGGAGACCACAAATGAGCGCCCCCTTTATTGCATCTGCTGTGGGCACGAGGCCATGGTTGACCACGTAACTGCCGGGAAGGGGCTCTTGACAGAGGGGATGAGGACCGGCAGGGTCCTAACCCATGTTCCTGTTGAAGGTGGAGCACAGGCTAGATTAGCCGCAGACTCCAGCCAGGAGGAGAAGAAACGCCGTGCCCAGGGAACGGCCTGTTCCACCCAGCGTCCTGGCTGGTGGGCAGAACTGGGGGCAGCCTGGGGCAGGAAGGCAGCAGTGAGAACACACCAGGCACTTCAGAGCTATTCTGGAAGGCTCCAAAGAAGAGCATCTGTTTCTGGGGCTGCTTTTGTGATTGGAGGTGAGCCCCCTGGTAGTGCACAACCACCAAGGGAGTTTAAAGTGTGGGAACCAGTGAGAGGGGCTGAGAAGGGTAGAGAGCCAGGCCAGGGACACTGCAGGGTGGGAGGGCACCTCCAGTGGCTCAGGGGAGGGGCGACAATGTGATGCGGGTGGAGGCCATGGGACTTTGCTGTCACGGCATCTTTTGCTGAAGTGCTTGAGTTGGTTGGCCCAAGTCCTGCCCAGGCCCCCTTCCCTCAGCAGTGGACGGGACAAGTCCCTTGACTGGCAGTTGTCTTGTTCCTGAGGCTGAGGCAGAGGGGTGAGCCAGCACCCCCATTCCAGGAGAGGGGTGACCTGTCAGGGCAGTGAGGAAGAAATCCCACCTTTGGAGCCGGGAGAGTCCAACAGAGCTGGCTCTGCCCGGCCCTCTGGGCCACCTTGAGGGAGCTATTTCTTTGAGTACCTGTGTCCAGATGTTTTAAAGAGGGAGTCACATTTCCTACTTCCCAGGGTCCTTGTGCGCGTTGCCTGGTGCACAGTACAAGCAGTGAGTGGTCCCTGCTATTGTCACGGCAGTGCCCTGGAAGGCGCTCCGTGCCTGGCAGTTCAGAGGGTCAGTACCGGGGAGCTGGGCAGCAGCCACGCAGGGCCCAGTGGGCAGGGCGATTCCTAACCCTGCCAGTCGTAATGTGTCCAAAGAAAAAGTGCGTGCGGCCTGGCATGGTCGGCTTCCCACGGGGCCATGTTGGCTCCTGTGGACTGTCACTTCCCTGTCCAAATGCTTGGGTACTACCTGTCCAGGATTGATATCCCGGCCTCAGGTCTGTTGCATTGAGGAGTCATCCCAGCTAGGGCTTGCTACCTGCCTGGAGCTCCCCCATCTGCCCACATCTGTGTGCACACTCTACCAGATAATAGCACTGGCTTCTGAGCATTTTCCCCCCAGGTTCTCTGGGCTGTAATGCCTGGCTGGGCCTGGGAGCAGCTGGCCACCTGGAGGCAGAGACAGAACAGACTGCGGTCAGAGGAAAGGGCCTGGGCCGCCGGTCCCAGAGAAGGTGTTTTGTCTGGAACCCTGACACTGTCACTTTCATCACAGAGCTGGGAGGCCCAAGCAACACCTGCTGACTCCTGCTTCTCTCTCCTGCAGTCAGCCGAGGTCAGCATCTCTAAATTGCTAGTTATTCTTTTCTTCAATTAAGGGAGATTCTACTGATGCAGGAAGTTAACTCCCGCCGGTTGATCTAATGGCCTTGAGTCCTGACGTATTTGCTCTGTCCGAAGGCAGGGCTGGACTTCCTTGGCAGCCCGTGACAGCACATTCAGGAGCTGCCTTGGGGGCGGGGGTGGGCCAGGGCCCCACATTCTCCGCATCCACACAAGGTGACTGCATTTCCCACCAGGCTGGGCCGGTGGTGATGAGCGGAGGGGAAGCAGTGGTGGAGCCTGGAAGTCCACTGTCGGTGGTGAGTCCCGTCTGGCCTGCTGTCTTCCCATCTGAGAAATGAGGGTGTGGAAGGGGTCTGGCTAGATGGGAACTCTGCAATTCCCACCACCTCGCACCTCCCCTGGACGCCCTCCCCCCCTCCAAGGGTTTGTGGTGACTGGGCTGAATGGAGGGGAGGGGTCTCCGTGACCCCCTCAGGGTTCATCTTCCCTGAGCAAGATGTGTTTACCTGTATGTATAGGTGTGAATACATGTGTGTGTGCACATACAATACACACACAGACGTGCCAAGAAATAGCAGGGCCCGGGCCAGGCTACGGCCATTGTTGCTGCCATGAGCCCCAGGCTTGGGGAGGTGCCCAGACCCGGGTGTGTAACCTGTGAAATAGTATATTGCTCCTCTGTGGCCACTCACCCACAGACCAGGTGGCCAAACCTGGGTGTATTCCAGGTGGTCCGGCCTCTGAGCCCCACCTGCAGGGAAGGGTGAGGGCAGGACTCAAAATCTAACACCGCACATCCACAAGCGCCAGGCCTTCTCGGCCTCTACTTCCCTACGAGTAAACTGGGGGTGATACGGTGGACCTCAGGAGTGCCTGAGGGTGGAATGACAGGACATGTGTACGTCCGCCAGCGCCCTGCCTGTCCAACAGCCATGCGCTGCTATTCCCATCCCCGCCTCACGCTGCCCTGGGAAGGCAGGGACCCATTCCCCTGTCTCGGCTGGTGACCAAGGGCACACACTGGAGAACAGCTCTGGCTTCACAACCCCAGACCCCCTGAGATTCTGTCTGCTGGAGTCAGCGCTGCCGTTCAGAGTTCTAGGGGCTGCAGGGTTTCCTGGAACGTGGGACTTCCAGGATTTAGGCCAGCACAGTCTCTGGCACACCAGGATGGTTCACGAAGCCACACTAGAGATTTGGGACAGGGCCCTGGGGAGCCTCGGATTTGTTGGGTGAGGCGTAAGAAGGACTCACAGGTCATTAACAGAGACAGAATTCAGCTCAGTTGAGGGGAAACATCCTCAGAGTTGGCACTATCTGAAAATGGAAGAACTCTCCTTTGAGTTGTTGAGCTCCTTGTCCTCGGATGCAGTCAGCCAAGAGCTGAAGGGCCACTCGGGAGGAGTTCTGTGGGTGGTGGACTCGGAGCCCTAGAGTGGGTGCCAGGCTAAATGTCCACTGAGGCTCCTTTTTGCCCAGTTTCTGCAGAGGGGCTGACCGAACCCAGGAATCAGGACCGTGGCTAGCCCCAGGATGAGAGGATCTGACGGACTTTTGCCAGGGAATGTTGCGGTGGGACAGGGTGGCTGGGGTGACTGGCTGAACATCGTAACTGGGCGTTACCCCTTACCAAGTCTTCAGAAGGAAGCAGAGGTCACCTTCTCCGGGGAAGGCTTGGTGAAAAGTTATTTTAGGAGTAACTACCCTCTTCCCTTTTCTGGCTTGGGGTGGTTTGGGACCTGCCAAAGCCTGGTCAGATATCTGTAGGGCCCCCAGACCTGGCATGGCCCTGACCAGGGAGAGGACTGCCCTCCCCTGGGGCCTCTACCTGGCTACCACCCACGCAGCACCAGAACAGCCTGCCATCTGTTGCTCCCTGCTGGGGCTGGACTGTGGATCCCTGGCTGCAGAAGCCACAACCTCCCCCGGGACTGTTCACCAACACATCCCGCGTCCCAGGTTTGGGAGGTGGATGGGGTACTGCTCACAGCTAGGCTCCTGGCCTCCCCAAATTCTGCTCCAGGCTGGAGTCCCAGGGGGATGTGCATACATTGTACATGTTGCTTCAGAGTTAAGGGCATAGACATCTCTTCCCCTCTGAGCCCAGGTCAGCCCCCAGAAATGACCCAGAGTTCTGGGGGAGGGCCTGATGAAGGGGTCCATCTCTTTTCTCTCATCTCTGGAGCCACCTCCTTCTTGGCCTCGTGGGAACCTCCCTGTGTCCCTTCTCCCTTCCCCTCTCCTCATCTCTGCCGGCTCAGTTACTCTCCTGGCGCCAGGCTCTGTGTTTCTAGTCTCTGAATTTTTATCTCTGAATTTCTCTCCCGCTGGCGGTTCAGCCCCAGGAGGGTATCTCTAGCGCGGTGTCTCTACACCCCTGGCTCCCAGTTCCCGTCCCCATCTCAGTCTGGACCGCAGTATCTCGTGTCACTGCGTGGTCTCGCTCGTCTCTGCACCGGGCCGGGTCTCGGTCGCTGTCGCGCCCTCGCGCTGCAGTGGCTGCGCGGGCCGGAGCGGGCAGGAGCCGCGGCTGCGGCCCGGGCGGGGTGCGGGCCCGCGGGGGCGGGTTGGGCGCCTTCCTCCGTCAGTCCCTCCCCGGCGGCGGGGGGGCCGGCGCGGCCGCCGCTCGGCGCCTTTAAGGGAGCGGGAGGGAGCGGCGAGGCGGTGGCTGCGGTGGCGGCTGGCGAGCGCGCGGGGTGGGGGCGCGGGGCGCGGCGCACGGAGTCCACTCGGGTCGGAGGCGGCTCTGAACCGGGGCCGAGCCCCGGAGCCGTGAGGAGCCGGGCAGCTCAGCCGGAGCCCGCCGCCCGGGACATGGCCAAGGCGGGCCGTGCAGGTGAGGGCGGGCGGGCGCCGGGAGGGCAGGGCCGGTGGCTCGAGGGAGGGACCCGCACTGCTCCGGGAGGGGCTGCTGGCCCAGGTGAGCCCCTCGCGCAGGTGGGCGGAGGTTCCGGGAGGGCTGCAGTGGGCGGTGTTGAGGCCGGACCCCCGGCGCGTGCAGAGAGGGTTCCGCGAGCCCCGCGTCCTTCCTGTGCCCAGAGTCACCTCGTGGGACACCGTGTCCCCCTCGCCGTGGCCCCACTGGAAAGGGCCAGGGCTGAGGCGCCCCTGCCCAGTCAGGCTGTGGGAGTTCTCACCACCCTCTGCAGGCCCTGGGCAGACCCAGGTACGGGGACCAAAGGGGCTGTCCCGCGGCTGCCGCTGCGTCCCACGCCCCCTAACCAGGACGCGCCTCCTGGTCCTGCCTCTTGCTCTATCCAGTACGCAGCAATCCCCCGCCCCCAGGTCAGGGAGGCGACAGAGATTTCTTCTTGGCAGGGAGGGGTCCTCTACACCCCACCCGCTAGTGACCATTCCTCCTCCTCCTCCCCCGACCTGGACAGAGAGGCAGAGCCTCAGGTTCTGAGGTCTGAAGGTGCGACCTCTTCTGGGGTCCCGCAGACTCTGGCGGCGTAGCCTGCGGTGTGAGGAAGTGGGCGTTAGTCATCCGCTCATTCATTCATTCAGCCAGCCGTTCATTCACCAACATCTGCTCGGTGCTAGGTCCTGAGCTGGGCACTGGGCATCAGGGTATGGACCAGACTCTGCCCTGTTTGCCCCTGTGGGCCTGCTGGTGTCTTGGGGGGTGCGAGTGGAGGAAAGCTTAAAGGGCTGACCATGCAGTGGGGGCAGCAAGCCTGGTGTCAGCAGGGCTGGCTTGTGAGGCTGGCACGTGTAAATAAATCTGCCATGAACTCATATCCAACATGTGACATTGGCAGGTGCCATGCCATCCCCTGGGACTAGGCATTGGCTTGGTACAAACTCCACCCACCACTACCCATAAGCGATGAAAGTGCTGGAATGAGTGTGAATTCACGTGTACACACACTGGGCGTGAATTCCACTGGGCTGCGTGTGAGTACACTGCCACCTGACAAATGCTGCCCTGGACCCTGAACCGGGTTCAGACCCCCCTGTATAGGACCTGGGTATATGATTCAGGTGCCTAAGAATCTATTTCCATTCTGTCCCTGCGGATCCTTTTGGGGTGGGGCTGATTGTGTGAGACGCGGCAAGCACCGGAACACATCCAAACACCCCCCTTCTCACTTCCCTCCCTTCTGCCCTCCCGGGGGAGGCACAGTGACATGACACCATTGAGGCTGGAAAAGAATCTCTCTCTCCTTCCCTGACTGAGCTGGGTCCTTACTCACCTCCACTCCTCCCAAAGGGCACAAGACACGGTGTGTGCCCACCTGCTGCCCCCTACTCTGTGTGGGCGTGTGCGTGTGTGTGTGTGTGCCCACCCCAGGCACGGAGCGCCTTCCAGGGCACTGCCGTGACAATAGCAGGGAACACTCACTGCTGGTACTGTGCACCAGGCAATGCGCACAAGGACCCTGGGAAGTAGGAAATGTGACTCCCTCTTTAAAACATCTGGACACAGGTACTCAAAGAAGTAGCTCCCTCAAGGTGGCCCAGAAGGCTGGGCAGAGCCAGCTCTGTTGGACTCTCCCGGCTCCAATGGTGGGATTTCTTCCTCACTGCCCTGGCAGGTCACCCCTCTCCTGGAATGGGGGTGCTGGCTCACCCCTCTGCCTCGGCCTGTGGGTCCTTTGGTCCTCAGCTGAGAGTCCGTGGGAATTTGTCCAGTGGCAGGTGAAAACACTGCCCTGCTCCGAGCATCAAACAGTTTGTCTTTTGTGCTGCAATTTCACGCTTGGCCCTTCCCCTCAGGGCAGTGCCGACTCCCCTCCTCTGTGGATGGAACGGGCCTGGCTCTTCTCTTCTACTCTCAGCTGCCACCCCAAGGAGCCCTGGGGATTGACCACAGCAAAATCCGATTACTCCTTTTCTCAGCTCATCCAGGCCACTTTGCATCTTGCCAGTGTCCTTCTTCTTCAGGCTCTTAGAGCCGCAGAAGTGAAACCGGCCTGCAGTGTGTATGGGGGTCACACCTCCCCACTGGCTGGGTCTCCGCAGGGTAGACTGGTGAGCTTTAGAGCAGAGGGGGGTCCTTAGAGAGAACCTGAGGCCCAAGGAAGGGATGTCACAGAGAGGGGTTAGCCATTCAGGGCCATCTGCCTCTCCCGGACAGACTAATGGTCAGAAAAGAGTGGGTCTTCACCCTGGGGACCAAGGGGTGCTGATGGCCAGGGGCAGAGACTGTGGGAGCCTGGCCTGTGAGTGAGGGGTCTGCTTCATGCTTTGTGAGGCATTCCCTCTAAAAACTGGCAAGGGACCACCTGCTAAGGGAAGACAGAAGAGTTTGGGCCCCAGGGCCACCGTGGTGCATGATGCAGGGCCACCCCACTGCAATCTAGTGGTTGGTGACCTCAGGCTTGTGCCCCAGCAGCCAGGAGCCAAAGGGGAGCAGCGAGAGCACCTGTGTGTTGCCCAGAGACCCCAGGTACAAGCGAACCTGTAATCAGGTCCCAGAAAGTGTTGGCTAGCTCATGTAGGGTGGGCCCCAAGGGCTGCTACCAGTGTCCATCTCTGGGGAGATTTCTGTCACACAGGCCAGGGTCATTATGGGAAGGAGAGCCCTTGCTGTGGCCCCGAGGGAGTGCTTGGTCTGGCAGACAAAGGGGGAGACAGGGCCTGCCTCTGGGATGAAAGGCAGCTAGCCTTAGGGACCTGGGGGCCGGTGGGGAAGGATCCAGGAGGTCCACTGTGCCATGGTCACTTACAAGGAGAGCTAGGCAAGGGCAGGCCTCCGTGCAGTACAGACAGAGAGGAGGCCAGTGGTGGCTTGAAATGGAGAAGGCTGGATTTCTCTAGGAATTGGGCCTCAAAGACTAGCAGGGTTTAGACAGGAAGTGGGGGAGGGCGGGCTTCTAGGTGGGGCTTGAGCAAAGACTAGGGGGTTGGAACAATAGCTTGGTCCATGCGCTGCTGCTGGCTAGGAATGAGGTGGGTGGGCAGGAGGTGCCCGAGGGTGCAGAAATCTGGCTGACATAGAGGCTTCCTAGATGGTTGCCGAGGGTTGAAAGGCACTTGGGAGAGCGTCGCAGACGGAAGCAACACGGTAAGGTTTGGGTGTTTCGACAGGTCCCTTCGACAGCTTCTGGGAGGGTGGAAAGAAGAGGCCTTGCCAGACTGGGAAAGGTTTGTCCTGGTTCTTGCCAGCTGCTGCCCTGCCCCTCCCTTCCTCTCCATGCCCCTGAGCCCACCCCATTCCCCCGCCCCTACACCCAGCAGGACGGCTGTGGTGTCTGCCAGCTGCAGGGCAGCGTAAGTGTGAGGCACCCCAGCCAAGCAGGAGTAGAAGGAGAGTACAAGAGGGTCTTGGAATCTCTCAAGCTGGGGCAGAGCCATCTGGAGAGGCGGGGCTGGGGCTCCAAGGCTGGGCCTTCCAGGCTGGAGAAACCAGTTTATTTGCTCCCAGGTGTTGGCCTCTGTTCTGAGGGGAGGAGCCAGCAGGCTGGAGGATATCAAACCCAGTAATTTGGGTCAATAAAATACTGATCCCACAGGGACAGGGCTGGAGGATGCTCCCAGATACCCATTTGCAAAGCCCTTGTCAGTGGGAGGCCCCCGGAGCCTGGAGAGGGGAGGTACTCCCCCAAGGCCACAGAAGTCGGTGGTGGCAGAGCTGAGCCCGAAACCTGCCTTTTCCAGAGCCTGTCTGGACCTTGCTCAGCTGAGTCAGCTGCCACTTCACCATCCCAAAGCCAGACCTCCTCCTGAGCCCCCTGCTCCTTGGTTCCAGAGCTGGGGACAGTGGCCCCGTCTCAGCGGAGGGGATGTTTGGAAGCGAGGGAAAAGGACCAGCACGGGGATTCTCAGCACTCTGGGTTGGTGCCAGGGGATTTGGCGCAGGACTCTTGAGAATCCCCCAGGCCCAGGGCATCAGGATTGCTTTGGGATGTATGTTGGGAAGATCACCATGTTCTGCCAGAAGGCTGCAAATTCACCTTCTCAGGTGCTCAGGGGAAAGGCTGGGGCCCAATCAGATGCCCAGGTGCCCCCTCAAGGACTTCCAAAAACACTGCTTCCAGGAAGCCTTCTGGACATCCCTGCTAGGGCTCGGGCAGGGCTCTCATTCCTCAGATGAGTTACTGGTCACAGCAGACCTGGCAGACCACAGCAGGCCCTGGTGTGGGACCCTGTACTGCCTCGCAGCCCCTACTGTGGTGTGGTTACATGACTTAAAGACAGTGCAGGTCCCACAGAAGCCCTGCCTCAAACGTGGGACTCTGAGCCCAGAATCCCATCCCCGCTGGAGGTCCGGTGACCTGGCTGATGTTTGGAAGTCCAGTGGTAGATGCGGAGAGCTAGACCACGCCCCCTACCCTGCCCCCACCCCCACCCTTTTAGGGCATTGTCTGTGTTGCATTGGCTAGGTGTGATGTTTTCTTGTACGGTATATTGTGATAGTTCATGGCTGAGCCTCTGAGAGGCTCAGAGGTCTTCCAATTCATCACACGGGGCGGGAGACTGAGGCCAGAAAGGCAAAGCCTTCTTCTCCGAGGTTGGTGCCTTTGAGGACAGAGGCTGTGAGCTACCAGAGACCAGTGAGACTCAGGACCAGGGACTTCCTGGTAGGACCCGGCTGCCTTCTGGGCATTCTCTGGGATTCCGGGCTTGTGAGAGGGGGTGCCAGGTCAGGAATGAGCATCCTGAGGACAATCTGGCTCATTTTTTTTTTTTTTTAGCAGTCCTCAACATGCTTCCCTGTCCAATGGATCGACCGCATCTCTTTGGGGTAGGGCCAGCATTGTCCCATTTTATGGGTAAGAGAACCGGGGCCCAGGAAGGTGAAGGGTCTGGCCTGGAGTCACACATGATGTGAGAGGCAGAGCTGGATGCAGCACTTGGGTCTCTTCTACTCCTGGAGGCAGCTTTTCTAAG